AATCCGTCTAACAGATCACACAGGCTCAAGCTCAGACAATGGATCATTAGCCCATTTAATACGGTCTACAACTCTTGAGTATTATTACTCTATACTCCTTACGAGGCCAGTCCGGGGCACAGGAACAATGCCACCGGGGCTGTGACCCCAGCCCTCCGCCCTGTCCCCAGCCACAATCTGGAATCAGGGTCGCTCGCCGCTGCGCCGGGGAGAGAGGAGTGGCTTTCCCTCGGTTGTCCTATCGCGAGGAAGTCTCCGAGGCCCTGCGGCCGGGGAGCGTCGGGAGCGCGGGGTGGGCCGGGCCGAGAGGCGGGTCAGGGGCGAGCGAGCCACATCCGGGGAGATGTCTGCGACTTCCGACCCCAGAGCGACGCCCGTCCAGCCCGGGGGCCCCCGTTCCTGAAACACAAAGCCCAAGGTCACCTCTGAGAACTCGGCGTCCGTGCAGAGGGCCCTCTCCCGGGTCAGTACGGCTCGCGGTCCCGCGTCGCTACCGCGACTTCCGAAATTCCCGCCAAGCAACTGCGCGTGCGCAGCCAGCGGCTTCGGCGTTCGAGCGCACGGCCGCGCCCCCGGGGAGAGCGCATGCGTACTCCGGTGTTCCAGGCTCTGGCCCAGCCCATCTTGTCCCTGATTTTTCTATCCAATTACGGTCACCACTTGTCCAGCCACACCCAGCCCCGGGATTGCCTTCTCCAATGCACCACTTTGCTGACCTTTACTACTATGCAGCCTACATAGGAAAGTCATTGAGTCTGATGCCGTACTCCTCCTGTTCTGGGCCACGGCTGCCTCTCTATCTCTTAAACTCCAAAAGTGTGGACAGTGACTCCCCCCAGGGACAACTGGAACTCTGAGCTCAGTTTGTCCCCTGCCTATTAACTCCTGCTTCACAGGCCCCTCCCAAGGTCCCTTACGTAAACAGCAAAATTCGAGCACATCCCTTGTCAGCCTCATCACAGGCCGATCCTGCGGCTGCCACCGCTCTGCCAGTTCTTGCCCTGTTCCTTTGTTCGAGCATGCTCTTTGCCTTGAAAGCCTTTCTCTTCCCCTTCTAACCTTCTCTTCCATGTTGAAAACCAGATGTTCTGTGCTCCTAGGAGCCCAACCCATGCCTGCTTCACCCTCCTCGGCCTGGGAGGGTCCACAAAGCAGGCTGTGTCCTTGGGACAAGGTATTGAGCCATCAGAATGGCCCTATGCATCAATGAAGTGATTTCTTTCCGATCTGAACCTTGTGAATACTGAATTGAGAGCATTAAGAGAGATTCCAAAGGGCCAGGTGTGGTGGCGAACGCCTTTAATCCCAGCACTGGGAAGGCAGAGGCAGGCACATCTGTTGAGTTTGAAACAAAAGCAAAACAAAACAACAAAAAGGCCCCTAAAGAGTGGGAGGAAGGTGGATGTGGCATGACTTTGGCCATTCTTCCATTGTAATTGTGGTCCCTTGCAAGTTTTCTGGTCAAAGATAGACATGTGTATAGCAGAAATTTCTGCTCTGCCACTCTGGCCTCGTAGTTTCAACAGTTATCCGAAAGAGGTGAGTTCTTGGATCCCTGAATATCACTTTCTGGAGCTGGGTTCCTTTATCCATGCCTCCATCCTTCAGCACTTCATGTGCTGATGTCCCAAAGACAGAATTTAATATTCCCAGCCAGGGCTGGTCATGTTGGGACACACTGAGATTACTGCCTCATGCAATCCAGTCCCAGTCAACGTCCAACCATGTCTTTTCCTTGCTTTGAATTCTCTGATGGTTCCCTCCTCTTTATAAGATACATACGAATTCTTTCCCTGTTCTATATCCAACTTTCATTTCTTGAGTTCATATTGCCTCCCCATTTCTGGTTACTTTGAAACAGGTTCTCATGTAGCCCAGGCTGGCCTCAAACTCAATATATAGCTAAGGATGACACTGTAACTTCTGATCCTCCTGCCTCTCCCTCCCAAGTATCGGGATTACCAGTGCTGCCACCCTGCCTGTCTCTGCTCTCTTTCCCCAGGCTTTCAGGCATGTTCTTTCTCTCTCTGAACCTTCTCCTCTGTTTCCTACCTACAGTCCACTACCATTCACTCTGCTCAACACGCCAACTCTGGGTGCACTTCCCTGGGGCTCCCCACTTCTGTGACTAGTGATTGATATATTATTTTCCAGGCCCATCTATTGGGAGCTGGGCCAGTCTATGAGTGGTTGTCCAAGGGATCTCCAGATGAGGCAAAGCCCACAGGGACAGTCTCACTCGGCAAGGACCAGTGGACTTTGGGACGGCGCAGAGTGCTGCTGGAACTGTGCGGCCTGTACACTCTCTTCTCTCTCATAATACTGATGATTCTCTTAGCAGTTTTTAGTGTCACTTTGTCAGTCACATGTGGGACAGATGTGATCAGTCCTGGAAACCCCATTTCTTTTGAATATTTTCCCCTAAAATTCTTTGAGAGCTGATGCTTCTCAGGTTTCTTGTCTGGGGATACCAGCTGTCACTCCAGACCCTGGGAGCTGTCCTGATTCAGTGCTGACAGGATCAGAGGCAGATCATCCCTATGTCTGTAAATGTTTTGTTAAGTTTGAATAATATTGCTGTTCTTGAGAATGTGCGCCTATGTTTATCACCTTTTAGTTTTGTAAAGACAGGATGTACCTGGCTTGGTATTTGACCGAGCTAGCAAAATGGTAAGTGTTTTGGTTTAAAAGATTTTTTGATGTAAAAGTTGGGGGGAAACCCCATCTTTGACATATTTGTTTTTTGCGGGAGGTTAACATCGGTGGGTGGGAAAACGTGTTTGTTAGTGTGGGAAAAATGCTTGTTTTTGAAGTATAAGGACGGCGGGAGCTCTTTGGGCGGCCACTTGTGTGAAAAACTCATCTGGGGGTCAGACAATTCATTTCTTTGTGCCAACACCCCTTCCCGTCTCAGGACCCGAACCCAGGCTGTGGCGGGACTGCAGCACCCATCTGTTATATCCTCCACGCCTGGCATAGGCTTGGTGGTTATTAGTCTCCCATAAAAGAGAAGATCTATAAAAGTAGGTGTTAAGTCTTGGGCTGTCCAAACATCCAGAAATGAGCTAAAACTGGACTATAGGAAGATTTCTAGCAGTTAAATACAAACCAGCATTCTTTGGAAACTTGTAAAACTTGTTCCCATCTGCCCGAAGTGCCTATCAGCATAGCAAAGCCCATGCTGCCCTCCAGGCTCCCTCGCTATCAAGAGTACCTGTTAGGCATTTCTTTTCTTTTCTTTTCTTTTTTCTTTTTTTGGTTTTACGAGACAGGATTTCTCTGTGTAGTTTTGCGCCTTTCCTGGAACTCACTCTGTAGCCCAGGCGGGCCTCGAACTCTCAGAGATCTGCCTGTTTCTGCCTGCCGAGTGCTGGGATTAAAGGTGTGAGCCACCACCGCCCGGCACTGTTACACATTTCAAAAATCCATACTAGTTAGCTCTTCTCACTTCTTCCTCCACCCTAAACTTCCTCCAGTTCACGGGCTTCCCACCTCCCAGCTACTCATTCTCATTTATAACTCACTGTTCTCTACTGTTCCCGCAATGACTCTAGCTTGTCTCTATTTGCACTTGAGTTCTTATTCCTTTACTCTCTCTCGCTCTGCTCTGTGCTCCATCTCTGGCTACCCTGCTACTC